AAATTTTTCCATTATAGCTGAAGATGCTGAGATGATTATTGGCTTGCCCGAGTCACAATGGTACAGTCAGAATCAGAACAAAGTCCTTTAGACTTCTTGGTCACTGGCATTGCCAGAATGTCATGCGAATTAAACTATGTGACTTTGAAACATGGTTTTATCCCTAAGTCCCATGGGTAATTGAACAGGCTGTGAAAATGCAAGGGATATGTACAGATATGGTATAAAAGCAAGAGATGGAACACTGAGAGAGCCTCTGAGAAGCACTGTATGAGAAGAGGCTTCTGCAGATGGCTTTGATTAAGTCTTCAGTTTCCTTCACCAGGTGGGTGCTACCTTGGACCCAGTCATGTGGAGAATCCATAGGATGAACTTTGACTTCATTTTCCTTTGAAGAGTTACATATATCAGCAAAAGCAAGTTTAGTAACTTTTTTTTGAGATAGGGTCTTACTATGTACCCTGATTGACCTGGAACTCCCTGTGTAGACCAGGCTGGCCTTAAACTCACAGAGATCTGCCTACCTCTGCCTCCTGAGTGCTGGGATTAAATGAGCGGGGCATCACGCCTCAGCTGATTTAATTACTTATTTATTTGTATTTTATGTGTTTTGCTTGCATGTAAGTGCAGGATATGTGTGCAATGCCTACAGAAACCAGAGAGGGCATTGGATTTCCTGGAACTGTAGTTATGGACAGTTGTTAGCTGCTGGGTGAGTTCTGGGAACCGAACCTGGGTTCTCTGGAAGCCAGGGCTCTTAACTATTGAGCCATCTCTCCAAACCCTGATAAACTTATTTTTAAGGTTTATTTATTTTATGTGTATGAATATTCTGCCTGAATGTTTATATATGCATCACCTGTGTGCCTGATGCCCTTGGAGGCCAGAAGAAGGTATCGAAACCCCTGGAACTTGAGTTATAGACAGAGCAACACATGCCTTTATTCCCAGCACTTGAGAGGTAGAGGCAGGTGGATATTTGTGAGATCAGGCCAGCCTGCCTGATCTACATAGCATGTTCCAGGCCAGCTGGGGCTAGAGGGAGACCCTGTCTCAAAATAAATACATAAATAAATAAATAAATAATAAATAAAACAAATAAACAAATAAATTAAACAAATAAATAAGAGTTACAGACAGCTATGAGCCTTTGCGTAAGTGTTGGAAACTGGGCCTTGGTCCTCTATAAGAGCAGTAAGTACTCTTAACCACTGAGCCATGAACCTTCTCTCCAGCCCTGATAAACTTTTCGTTTTTTTTTTTGAGACAGGGTTTCACTATATAGCTCACACTGGCCTTGAATTTACAATCATCCTGCGCCAGCCTCCCAAGTGCTAGGACCACAAGTGAGAGCTATCACATCTGGCTCCTGGATAAATCATTTTTTTCAATGTTTCCTTTAACCTCTGGCTACTAGTCTACTATTCTATAATAGCCTTTTTCACTCTTAGACCAATTGTTGCAATTTTTTTCCTAAATTTAAGTCAACAAACATTTATTTAAAAAACAGGGCATCATAGTAGGTGTTTAGAGAACAGATGAACAGAGTTTCCTGCCTTCAGATGAAGTATGGTAGTAAACAGTACTACAGAAGAAGAGGTACACACAGAACACACATCTGCATATCCTACTTTCATGTATGTGCCGTTGAAGTGAGTACCACTTTTACATTCTGATTAATCAGAGATGATAACTGGAGGCTGGACATGTAGCTCAGCTGATAGAGTGCTTGCCCAGCATGTGCAAAGTCTGACCTTGATCTTTAGCATCTCAAAAACTGGTCATGGTGGCACATACCTGTAATCCTAGCATTGGGGAGATAGAGGCAGGAGGTTTAGAAGATCAAGGTCATCTGTGGCTACATAGTGAGTTCCAGGGCAGCTGGGGCTACAGAGAGATTCTGTTTAAAAACAAAAAACAAAACAAAAAAACAACCAAACAACAAGAACAACAACAAAACCCCAAAACAAAATAATTATATGTATATGTTTATGTATATATACAAAACGTTTTGGATATTGAACAAATTGCTACTTTTGGAGTATGGGTTTAAGGAGTAATGGGACAGGAGGTCTTCCATTTCTAACTTAATATCTTTCAGTATTGTTCGTTTGTAATAAAATGCATTATTTATTTATTGGTTTGTGAGACAGGGTCTCCCTGTAGCCCTAGCTGGCTTGAAACTCACCATGTAGACCAGTAGGCCAGGCTGGCCTAGATCTCAGGGAGATTCACTTGCTTCTGCCTCCTGAGTAATGGGATTAAAGCACACCACCATGCCCAGCAAAATTCATTATTTATCATTATTATTATTAATAATTATTATTATTATTTTGGTCTTTTTGAGACAGGGTCTCCCGGTGGCTCCAGCTGGACTGGAACTCTATATGTAGACCAGGCTGACCTTGGACTCACAGAGATCCACCTGCCTCTGCCTCCCGGGTGCTGGGATTAAAGTCGTGTGCCACCACATCTGGCTAAAGTTAAAAATTTTTCTTATTTAAAAAAGTCCAGAGAGGGGCTGGAGAGATGGCTCAGTGGTTAAGAACACTGGTTGTTCTTGCAGTCGATCCGGATTCGAATCCCAGCACCCATATGGCAGCTAACAACTGTCTGTAACTCCAGTTCCAGGGGATCCGACAGCCTCTTCTGTCCTCCTCTGGCATTGCACCAACATGGGTGCACTTACCTACATGCAGGTATAACACTCATACACATCAAATAAAAAAAAAAAAAGTTGCCGGGCCTGGTGGCGTATGCCTTTCATCCCAGCACTCCAGAGGCAGAGTCAGGCGGATCTCTGTGAGTTCAAGGCTAGTTTGGTCTACATAGTGAGTTCCAGGCCAGCTGGGGCTACAGGGAGACCCTGTCTCAAAAAGACCAAAAAAAAAAAAAAGAAAAGGAAAAAAAAAAAAGTCAAGAGAGCCAGGCTTGGTGGCACATACTTGTAATCCCAGCAGGCTGAATCAGGAGAATCTCAAGTTTGAGACCAACATGGGTCAGCAAGACTCTATCTTTAAAAATAAGGGAATAAGAATTTAAAAATCAAGTGACTAGTGAGAAACAGTTTCTGCCAGTAATTGAACTGTTTTAATGCTTTCACTCCATCAGATTTCCCAAAATTCTAAAACATCTCAAAAGGAAAAAAAATATAAAGAAATGTAAACATAATGTTCAGTCATTCTGGATTCTGTTGTACATAGGGCATGTTTTTTACCCCATCATAACGTGTTGATATTCAAATCAAGGCAAAGGGGGCAGACAATGAGTACTGAGTTAACATGACCCTTGCCCTTTATTTAAGACTTAGGCACATAATCTCTGGTTAAGATAGGATGGTAGTGGAACCAGAAAGGCTCTCCTTTTTCTTTTATTCCCTCCATTTTGACTTTTTTGAGACAGGATCTTGCTTATGTAGCCTTGTTTGGCCTAGAACTCACTATGTGGAGCAGGCTGGCTTCAAATTTGTAGTGTTCCTTCTGCTTCTGCCTGTGGAATGCTGGGATTATAAATGGATTATGTACTACCACACCTGGCAATGCACTCCCTTTAAGATTCAAAAACCTATATTAAAAGATCCTGGCTTTTCTTCTGGATTCTCCCAAAACATTTTCAAATGACGCCATTAGATCACTCTGGGATTGCTTTAATTCATTCTGTGATTCACTCATGACAACTAATAAGTTAGATGATTCTGGTCTATGCTCAGCATTCCTAGTACTGTGGAGTGACTTAAATGCTCAGGGGTTTGAATGAAATACTTCTCTTGTTTTATTATTTTATTTGTGTGTGTGCATGTGTGTGCATGTGTGGGTTGTATGTGTCTGTGGTGTCTGCATACATATGTATGTGCACATGTGCATGGCATGTGTACAGAGGTCAGAGGAGGACATGGAGTATTCTACTTGATTATTTCTCTGCTTTATTCCTTTGAGATAGGGTATTTCATTGAACCTGGAGCTAGAACTGGCAGTCACCAAGCCCCAGCATCTTCCTGTCTCCATCCCACATAGCACTGGGGTTACAGGCACATGTATGACCACACCTAGTATCTGATGTGGGTGCTGGGATCCAAACTCAGAGTCTCATGTTTGCATAGCATGTGTTCCTACTCACCAAATTGTCTCTCCAGCCCCCTGTGTTTCTACTGACTATTTAAAAAAATTATTATTTTTATTTTATCTGTGTATTGCATGCATGTAGGTAAGTGCACCCGTGTCTTACAGTGCCCATGGAAGACAGAAGAGGCTGTCGGATCCCCTGGGACTGGAGTTATGGACAGTTGTTAGCTGTCATGTGAGTGCTGGGATTTGAACCCGGGTCTTCTGTAAGAACAACCAGTGCTCTTAACTGCTGAGCCATCTCTCCAGCCCCCTCTACTATTTTCTAATGAGTTTTTTTTCTCCAAGACTTCATAGTAAATGACTTCTCCCACACAGTGAGGCTTCCCTTGGGTCATGGTTTCATGCTTCCAGCACCATTTCCATGACTTGCTATTTTTTGATCTGCAGCCTGCTTAGTTTTCCATGTATGAGAGTATTCAAAGCTGTTTAAATAGAACCACAATATTATCCTATAAGCATTTATAATTACATTTATTGAAACTCTTGTTAATCATTCACTGAAGTTTAACTTTTTCCTACCTCCTTCATGATTAGAAAAAGTAAATATTACTTGCTCGAAGGTTGTAGAATACCACGTTTAGCCCTCAAATCTGTGACTCTTATAACTAACAAAGGTATTGTGGTTATAGAAATTATCTTTGAAAGTTTTTCACAAGCAGTTTTATTACTTATTTAGAATTGATTAAATGTATCTCTAAGAATACTAGTTTGAAGCCAGGTGTAGGAGCACAAACCTGAAATTCCAGCACTTGGGAGGCAGAGGCAGGAGGATTGTGAGTTGAAGACCAGCCTGAGCTACCTAGAGAAACCCTGAACCAAACAACAGCAACAAGAACCCCCTCCCCCAAAACAACAACAATTAATAAATAAAGAAGACCCAAGACTAGAGTCACATCCTGACATGGTTACTTATCCTGGTGTGTTAGGGTTCTTGAAGAGGATCTGCTGGTCTTGGTTCACCTGTGGGGTAGTCAGTGCCCTGTTGGTGCCCAGATCAGAAACATGTCAAAAATAAAAAAATAAATAAAGGAAGGAAGGAAGAAAAAGAGAGAGAGAGAAAGAAAGGAAAGAAAGAAAGGAAGAAAGAAAGGAAGAGTTCTGGGGCTGGTGAAATGGATAAACTGGTAAAGGTGCTTGTTGCCAAGCCTGACAACCTGAGCTGTGTCCCTGGAGCCCACACGGTGGAAGGAGAAAAAGAATACTAGTTTTCCTTTCCTTCTTTCCTTCCTCCCCAATCTCTCCCCACTTCAGTTCTCTTCTTTCTCTTCCTCCCTTCTCCTCCTTCCTCCTCCTTTTCCTCTTCCTTCTCCTCCTCTTCTCTTCCTCCTCTCCTTCCTCCTCCTCCTCCTCCTTCTTCTTCTTCTTCTTCTTCCTCCTCCTCCTCCTCTTCTTCTTCTTCTTCTTCTTCTTCTTCTTCTTCTTCTTCTTCTTCTTCTTCTTCTTCTTCTTCTTCTTCTTCTTCTTCTTCTTCAACTTTTTCATGTGTATGATGTGTGTGTTGGTGCCCAAGGCACAGCAGGAGTGGAGGTCAGAAGACAACTTTCAGTATTCAGTTCTCTCTTTCTACCACAGGATTCAGGGATTGAATTCAGGTTGTCAGGCTTTCCCATGGCAAGTGCTTTTGCCTGCTCAATTATCTTGCCAGTTCAAGATTACTAGTTTTAATCTGTCAAGTTAGTATTCCCTATATTTTGTTTTAAAAATGGACTGGGGGCTAGAGAGATGGCAGAGATGGCTCAGCAGTTAAGAGATTTAACCAAATCTCACACTCACATGGCAGGTAACAACCATCCATAACTACAGTTCCAGGGTATCTGATACCCATAGGCATTGCATGATACAGGCTCACTTACATCCAGGCAAAACACTCATATAAATAAAATAAAAATATATAAATAAAAAAAAATTTTAAAGTACAAATTAAAAAATGTTAAATTTGTTGGGCTAGGCATGGTGGTGCAAGCCTTGAATCCCAGCACTCAGAGGCAGGTGCATTCTAGGCCAGCCAGGACCACAGAATGAGACCCTGGCTCCCCCTCCCCTCCGCCGCAAAACAAGTTGGGGATATATTGTAGGAATTAGGTGTTAGTTAATTAAAGTATGTTAGCTAATTTATTTAAACTCTAGATCATATTAGTAAGGGCACATATAGCAATTTAATACCACATCAGTGGGACACTAAAGTTTTGAGCAAATATTAAAATCATTGAGACAAATGAAAAACCTCATTTTAAAATGTTAGCCATGGGATAAATAGTTCACAATCTTATAACTAAAAATCAGATAACTCTTTTAAGCTACACATTTAGCAAAAATTAATGTTGGCAAGTTAATATTTTGCAATCCAACTTTATCAAAGGAACTTTTGAAAATTATTATTTTTATTAAAATATTTTATTCATTATTTTTATTTTATTATGTGTATGAGTGCACTGCCTGCATGTATGTAAGTGCACCCATGTCATACAATGCCCACGGAGGTCAGAAGAGTGCATTGGATCCCCTGGATCTGGAGTTACAGATGGTTGTCAGCCACCATGTGGGTGCTGGGAATGAAACCCAGGTCCTCTGCAAGAACAGCCAGTGCTCTTAATCACTGAGCCATCTCTCCAGTCACTGAAAAGTATTTTTTTCAATGAAAAATTATCTCTTATAATCCTTCAAGATTTGCTTCTATAGAGCTGGAGAGATGGCTCAGCAGTTAAGAGCACTGACTGCTCTTGAAGAAGACCTGGGTTCGGATTGCAGCACCCACATGGTAGCTAACAACTGTCCTAACTCCAGTTCCAGGGGACCTGACAATTTCTTCTGTTTTCCCTGGGCATTGCACAACACAGGTGCACTTGCATACATGCAGGCAGTACACGCATACACATAAACTAATAAATAAAATGTTTTTTAAAAGAGGTTTGCTTCTATATGAATAAGAAAAAAAAAGTGTGGTGGGGGGAGGACTCTTGTTGGGGCTACAGAGATGGTTAAATGGTTACGAGTGCTGGACCTGAGTTTAGATTCCTGTGCTCATGTAACAAGCTGGGCAAGGTCTCTGTGCTGTCGGGGACAGGGACAAGAAGATTGCTGGGGCTTGCTGGCTGGCAGTTTAGCTAGAAAATGCAAACTTCAGGTTCAGGGAGAGACCCTGCCTCAAGTGATAGAGGAGGACGCCCTTCACCCACACATTATATGTGGTGTGGCGGGGGGAGGGAGTCTAAAGATGACATTTACTCTAATTAAATTTGTCCCAGAAATCCTGCAATCTTCTTGATGTTGAAGACAGTGATTGCGGCAGTGTGTTGGCAAAGGGAAGCATAGCTATGAATCATGGGAATGAGGCTTTTTTCAACTGTTTTGCTGGGTTAACACTAAATTTTGTTCAAGAATTTCAGCAGAGCCTTTAAAGGAAAAATAAAACTATATAAAGATGGCTGTTTTCTTTTTCTTTTTCTAAGACAGGGTCTTGACATTCAACCTAGACTGGCCTCAGACTTCCAAGCCCCTGCCCCTACAAGTGTGTACCACCACACCAGTTATTTCCCATTATTTTTAATATATTTTTAAAAAGATTACATTTTTATTTCTTTTGTGTGTGTATATGTGTGTATGTGTGTGCGTACTTTCAGGAACTAAAGCCAACTCATCTTTCAAGTTTTGTGTGTATATGCCCTAGTGTGTGTGTGTGTGTGTGTGTGTGTGTGTGTGTGTGTGTGTGAAGATCCAAGGGGAACTTCTGGGAGTCACTTTTCTCCTTCCACCATTTAAGTCCCTGAAATTGATCTCAGATTATCAGGCTTGGCAGCAGGTGCCTTTACCTGCTGAGCCATCTTACCTACCCCATTATTTTAAAATATTTACCTTATTATTTTATTTTTGCTTTTACTTATGAAAACTGTGAAAAACACAAAACTAGAACAGCATAATAAATTCTCACAGATACACCACCCAACTTCAATAACACAGGTTATTTCAACATGTTTATGTTTTATTTTTAATTTTTTGAGGTGCTGGTGATGGAAGCCAGAGCCTTGTTCATGTAAAGTATTTAATATAAATAAACATACATAATTGATTTTTCATCTATTAAAAAGACTCTATGGGGCTGGGCATTGTAGGAAATGCCTGTAATTCCAGTACTCTGGAGACTGAGGTAGGACAAATTTACATTTGAATCAAGCCTGGATACACGATTTTTTGAAAAGTCTCAAAAAAACAACAAACAAACCGGGCATGGTGGTACAATCCCAGCACTCTGGAGGTAGAGACAGGCACAGATCTCTGTGAGATGGAGACCAGTGTAGTCCACATAGCGAGTTCCAGGTCAGCTGGGGCTACAGAGAGATGTCTCAAAAATGAATAAAGATGGGCGCCCAGCACTCAGGAGGCAGAGGCAGGGGGATCTCTGTGAGATTGAGGCCAGCCTGGTCTACATAGTGAATTCCAGTTCAGCTATGGCAACAGAGAGACTCTGTCTCAAAAAAAGAAAAAAAAGAAAGAAAGAAAGAAAGAAAGAAAAAGAAAAGAAATAAAAATCCAAACAACAATAACAAACAAAATCAAAAAAAGAAAGAAAAGGAAAGAAAAAGTCTATCCCAAAGAGCTGGGTATGTAATGCAGTGGTAGAGTACTTTGACTAGTGTGTGTGAGGTACTAGTTTCAATTTCTAGTTCCATACATACATGCACACACACACACATACACACAAAGAAAAGACTATATGTGCGTGCATACACGTATCTGCCTGCTACCTATAAAAATGTCCATATTTTGTCACAGGGTTTTTTGTTTTGCTTGCTTGCTTTTATTTTTATGTTTTGACTTTTTGAGACAGTCTCACATAGTCCAGGCTGGCTGTACAGTTGAAGATGATCTTGAACTCCTGATTCTCCTGCCTCTACCTCTCAATTGTTCAGATTGCTGGTATGCACCACCATACTAAGTTTCTTACATGCACATGCACATGCACTTGCACACACACACACACACACACACACACAAATAAATAAATGAATGAACTGATTTTAAAAGGAAGGAAAAATAATTTAAAAATCAATTTAGAGCCAGGCATGGTGGTACATGCCTTTAATCATAGCACTCAAGAGGCAGAGGCTAGCAGATCTTTGTGAATTCAAGGCCAGCCTGGTCTATATAGAGAGTTCCAGGGCAGCCAGGACTTCATAATAAAACCCTGTCTCAAAAAAGAAATTTAATTTTTTGTCAAATACCTAATACATGTCCCAATGTAGACTTCCCCAAGAAGTTGATGTGAAGAAATACTGAGACAAAATCCTCAAAGACGTGGGAAAATAGGGAAGAAATACAGACTTATTCCAAACTCAAGAACAAGTTGGTAAGGCCTCAACCTAGTGTAGAGTTTCCCAACATTTCTTGTCTTGAGTGCCTCTTTCACAGTTTGAAGCAATTTCTTGAAACTCTGAGGAATTTAGGGAAGCACTTTTTTTGTGTGTGGAATACAAAAAAGCGTTGATGTAGGTTAAGTTATATATAAATCTGTTTTATTGACAATTGGAGTGTAAAATTAATTTAAAATAAATTAAGGGCCAATGAGAATGCTCAGCAGGTAAAGGCACTTACTACCAAGTCTGACTAAGTGAGTTCAGTCCCTAGGACCCACATAGTAGAAAGAGAAAACTGATTACCCAAGGCAGTTCTCTGACTTGAACACTAGAGTCATGATTCATGAGCACCCATACACAGACTCACATACACAAAATAAATTTTAAAAATTTAAAAGAAAATAAAAGTCAACTATTCATAGACTAGTAAGAGGACTAGGGATGGGGCTGGAGAGATGGCTCAGTGGTTAAGAACACTGGTTGTTCTTGCAGAAGACCCAGGTTCAAATCCCAGCACCCACATGGCAGCTAACAACTGTCCTAACTTCAGTTCCAGGGGGATGCAATAGCCTCTTCTGTCCTCCGTGGGCATTGCAGGACATGGGTACACTTACCTACATGCAGGCAATACACACGTACACATAAAATAAAAATA